TAACATCACAGAAGAGTCCATGTCCACGTTGCTCATTCAAGGAGTTCAGCAGACTGCCAGAGTACTGAATGTCTATAGCAGAAATCAGTTTTCTACTCTCCATGCCTGCTTTTCCGCGTCGCCGCTTCTCCTCCTCAGGCCGCGCCGAAGGGTGGGAGTTCTCCAACAGCAAGAGGCCGGACTCCCGTGGTGATTCGGCTCCTCCTTTAAACGTCTCTCCAGTCTTGGGCCACGTCAACGCGGCTACCGCCTCCTGCCGCCACCGCTGCAACCGCTGCCCCACGTCCACCGACAGAGGGCACAGCGCGTGGGCGAAGCGCTGGAATCGAAGGCGCCTTCCACCTCCGAGCGCACTCGGTTCTTTCAAGGAAACTTTTTATTAACGTTTTCCAAACAATTTGTATGCTCATCACTCTCATTTCTTAGTTGGAGCATGTGTGACCACATTGACACAAAAAGCTTTGGATAATCGAAACACAAGGAGGGGATCAGGACTTGGGGAAGGGAGCAGGGAGGAAGAAAACGATGCATCACCTTTCTTCTAGATTTACTTTGTCACAAAGATACAGATCTCAGACTAGAGGTTGCAGGTAGTTTCAACTGGACTGAGTCTTCTCATGTGACAGTATTTTCTTTCAATCTTCAGTTCTTCTGTAGACTATCAATAGAGACTACAGAGCAGTCCTGTCCAGTAGAACTTTCTGTGATAATGGCAATATTTCTCTGCCCTATCCTACACAGTAGCTTCTAGCCACATGTAACTGTTGATCATTTTATTTTTATTTTTAAAAAATATGTGGGGGTTTTTTGTGTGTGTTTTTTTAGAGAGGAAGGAAGAGGGATGAAGAGATAGAAGCATCGATGAGAAAAACATCATTGATTGGCTGCCTCCTGCATGTCCCCTTCTGGGGATTGAGCCTGCAACCCAGGCATGTGCCCTGACCTGGAATCCAACCAGGATCTCTTGGTTCCCAGGTGGATGCTCAACCACTGTGCCACACCGGCTGGGCAAATTTAAGTATTAATAGCCATATATAATCAGTTGCTGACATGAACAGTGCCATTTATAATACCTCCTTTGATTGACTTCATCTCACAGCCATATGCAGAATTCAAGTGCCTTTTACAAATCCTTTGATGAATGATTCTAAAGTTTTATGGCAGCCTGTGCCCCAAAACCAGACAATTCAATTCCTTCCTGTATGTTCATGTTGCCTTTTGAGGTGATGTCCCAGCACTGGAGCTCAGAGCAAGTGAGTCTCTGTGGGCCCTTTAAGAGGAACCCCTGGGACTCCAGCAGCTCTTTATCTCACTCAGCCATAGTCCCTGCTGGTTTTCACAGCCAGAAGTTATGGGGACTTCTCTTTCTGGCTCTGGAATCCTGGGCTGGAGGGCATGGTTTGGAGCTGGGATTCCTCATTCTTCAAAGGGGACCTCCACAGCTGAGATGCCCTTCCCCATTTTTAACTGCAACAGGTAGGTGTGGGACCAGCTTGCTTGTTCCATGTCTCTGCTTCCTACCAGTCTTTGCATGGCTGCTTTTTTATATCCTTAGTTATAGGACTTCTGGTCAGCTAGACTTCAGGTGGTTCTCAATGATGGTGGTTCTGTAGTTTAATTGTAATTTTGATGTGATCATGGGAGAAGGCAAGTACAGCATTTATCTACACTGCAGTCTTGACCAGAAGCCTTTCCTAATTCTTCCATTGCTGCCCTTCCAAGTTTCAACCTTCTCTTGATTTCATGGCTGTAGTCTCCATTTGGAAGGCAGCTATGCTCACCACTATACCACCAATGCTGTAGTCTCCATTTGAGTTGATGACTGAACCAAAGTAAGCAAAGTCTTTAATAGTTTTCATGTCTACTTTTAATTAAATGGTTGATTCCTGGATCAGATTAACATGTATATAAGTTATTCATGACTGTCAGAAGCAAAAGCTACAGGCAGTGTTTTTCTAAAACCAATCACTAGAGGGGGCATGCAGGCTTCTTTCACTATGGCTGCGGCCTGGCTCCTTTAGGAGGTAGCCAACCATTGCAGTCCATTGGAATTAATGGGCCTCAGTGCCTGGTGATCCAGGTGACTGCTTGCCATATACCATCAAGACCTGAACCATCTTTTTTTTTTATTTTTAATATATTTTATTGATTTTTTACAGAGAGGAAGAGCAAGGGATAGAGAGGTAGAAACATCGATGAGAGAGAAACATCCATCAGCTGCCTCCTGCACACCCCGTACTGGGGATGTGCCCACAACCAAGGTACATGCCCTTGACTGGAATTGAATCTGGGACCCTTCAATCTGCAGGCTGACGCTCTATCCACCGAGCCAAACCGGTCAGGGCCTGAACCATCTTTTGCTAGCTAGTGCAGTTCAAGGCAGGAATCACATTTATAATAGAAACTGTTGAAGTGCTCTTTAATCCTTATATCTGAATATCTCAATAGAATTTTTCTCTACCATTCTTTCATAGAAAAGAGATGAAAAATATTAGCCCTTAACTGGTTCAGATCTAGTAGTGCAAACTGGAGTGTCATTAATTTGGTTAAGTACCTCTGTTACTAGAGTCCCTGAGGGTATTGTAGGAACCATTCTTTATTTCGCATCACAACTTTATTCAGCAGAATGGTAGTATTGAGATTCAACTTGAATTCACTTTGACACTAAGTCTCATGTCATATTTTCTTTAGCATGTTAATTCTCCAAAGCATTTGGTTCTTTAATCGTTTTAATTTTTTGCTTAAGGCATTTAATTCTCAAGAACTATACTCTGGCTTACAGACTGGGTCTCTTCCTTAGGTCTCTCTAAGACAGCAGTACTCAACCTGTGGGTCGCGACCTCTTTGGGGGTCGAACGACCCTTTCACAGGGGTCGCCTAAGACCATCGGAAAACATATATAATTACATACTGTTTTTGTGATTAATCACTATGCTTTAATTATGTTCAATTTGTAACAATGAAATTGGGGGTCACCACAACATGAGGAACTGTATTAAAGGGTCGCGGCATTAGGAAGGTTGAGATCCACTGCTCTAAGATGTACAACTATGATTACCAGGCATAGAGGAAGGACTTACCTTCAGGACCCAGCCTGGGCAGGTCTGTAAATATCTTGGAGTCCCTAAAAGGGACTTTTCTGTGCTCAGATTACTCTTGGGATTTGCCACCATATTTGGGACATGACCTCTTGGGCCAGCAAAGCTCAGAGTGGAAGGGTTGTCAGGTTTCCCTAATATCTGGAGTGTGGTTACCCTGACTGCTTTCAGAGCATGGAATCCTGACTCATGTCTCCCAGTGTTCAATAGCTGTCTCTCCCTTGAAGTTCTTCTGTAAGTCAGTGCTACCCTATCCTTTTCTTTAATTTATCCTTATACTAGAGGCCCAGTATAAGAAATTTGAGCACGGGTTAGGGGGTGGTCCCTCAGCCTGGCCTGCAACCTCTCGTAGTCCAGGACCCCTTGCTCCTTACTGCCTGCCTGCTCGCTGCTACTTAGTGCTACCGCTGCTGTGCTTGCCAGCTAGATGTGAGCCTGGCTTCTGGCTGAGCGGTGCTCCCCCTGTGGGAGCACACTGACCAACTGGGGAAGCTCCTGCATTGAGCGTCTGCCCCCGGTGGTCAGTGCGCATCATAGCGACCAGTCGTTCTGGTCGTTCTGCCTTAATGGTCACTTAGGCTTTTATTATATAGATTTATCTTATGCTTGCTTTGTCTCAATGGTTGGGGATACACAGGTATGAATACAGTGTAACTGCTATGGTAGTGGGGACATAGTAGAGAGATACTGAAGTGTCAGAATTTGAGAATTTGTCCATAGGAGATTACAGTGGGTTTAATGTAAAGGAAGAGTTGGCCAGATGCAGGTGAGTTAATGCTAAGTAGAAGGATCATGTGCTGAGGCATGGAATAGCAGGTAGCCTGATGCTTTCCTATGTAGTGTTTGCAGTGGTATTTACGGTAGTCCCCCCTTATCCATGGGGCATGTGTTTCAAGACTCCCAGTGGATGACTGAAACCATGGATAGTACCGAACTCTGTATATTTTATGCCTCTTCCTCCTCATTCTCCTTTGCTGCCTTCTCTCCTGGCCCCTTAAATGGAGGTGCTTTATGGCGTTGTCCTGGGTTCTTCACTTATCCTGCACTTGGTCTCTAGGCTATGCTAGCCACTGTGATGGTTTCACATAACTCCTTAGAATAAATCCAGCTCTGGTCTTTTTCTTTAGTTTTAGACCAAATTAAGACTAAAATTACACAGTCTGCTTGATAGAATTTGTTGTTTTTTCAAAGTACCATAAACTTGGCCCCGGCCAGGTAGCTCAGTTGGTTAGAGTATCATCCCGATACTCCAGGGTTGTGGGTTCGAACCCCAGTCAGGGCACATATAAGAATCAGTCAGTGAATGCGTAAATAAGTAAAACAATAAATCGATGTTTCTCTTTCTTTTTCCCTTCCTCAAACCAATCAATGAGTAAAAGTACCACAAACTTAAATTTCAGTTAATATATGTTTTCCAAACAGGCTAAAAACGTGACAACAAAGTTTAACTCTTCCCTTGCCTTCCCCCATCCTCACAAACCTAGGCAGTTGTCAGGTTTGTTGACTGCTAGACCTGGGGGTGACCAAGACCATTTCACATGTCCAGACTCTCTTTGCCATCCCTGCTGCTGCTGCTGCTGCCTAAGGTCACGACTTTGTTTTCTCTCACTGGGGAGTATTACAGTGTCTTTGCCTCCATTTTCTCGGGTCTCCCAGCATTGCTTCAGTATCAGCCTGAGCATGATGGTCCTTTCTTTGGTTGCTCTCCAGTGAGTACAGAGTAACATCCAGCTCTTGGTAGACGGGACCCTTAGCAGTCTTGTCCGAGAAGACTCTCTGAACCTTGTGTCCCACAACCGCTCTAGGAGCCATTTCCTAAAGCTCCATGAATGTTTGTACTTCTGGGCATTTACTTGTGTGTTCCTGCCTTGACTGCCCATTCTGTTTATCCTTTCTGCCTCGAAAGTCCTGCAGAGTCCAGTGCAAGGGTCTGCTCTGTGAAGTCGTCTTCTTCAAGTTGAGAGTAAATGTTTGGGGAATTATGAGGAATAGAACTGGACTACAACTTCAATAGTAATGACTACTATTTATGGAGAAACTACTGTGTGACAGTCACCATTATGAACACTGCGAACACTAAAAGCAGATGATTAAGAACATGAGCTTTGGTGGTAGAGTCCCAGCTCTGCTGTTTACTAGCTGTGTAACCTTGGACAAGTTATTTCCAATCTCAGCGTCAGTTAAGTCTGACAGTTAAATGTGCTTCTCTAATGGAAAGTAAGCAATAAATGGTGGTTACTGCCACCGTAAATGGAAAGTAAGCAATAAATGGTTGTTGCTGCCACCTCCTCACCCCTTGTGAGATAGTAAATATATCATCATGCATGTTTTACAAATGATGAAACTGAGTCTTAGGGAGTCTGGGTAACTTGTACTGCTTCCCGAAACACATGACTCTGGGATTTGTGGCTTACTCATCTTTTTATTCTATAGTGTCTTTAAACTCAGTAAGTATTTATTGCATTTAAAAATGTATTTGGAGCTCCAGGGTCAGATTGAAAGAAAAATTTAGAAATTGTTACCTGCATAGAGTGGTAATTGAAGTTGTTCTCTTAAGTCCTGTCATCTTTGAGAGTCCACGCATTTCAACCACCCCTTCAGCAGTGAGCTACATAGTACCATGTGGCAGATGGCAGTGATCTTCAACTGTTACTTAAATCTTTTTAAAATTTGTTTGTATTTGTCTTCTTTCCCCAACTGGTTTGTAAGCTCTTTGAGGACAGAAGACCGTGCTGTGTACTACTATGTATATTAACTCCTGCTCCCTTAAAGTCGTTTTGTTTACTAAGATAATAGGTCAAACTTCAGTAAAAGTTAATCTCAAAAAGGAATTCTTAAGCAGTGACCAACCAAGATTATTTTGTTAATCTTTACTTTCTATTATCTGAATTAAGAAAACTTTTCTTACATTTTCCAAATAAAATTTATTAAACTTTCATCTCTAATATTTGTTACATTTATTACAATCTAAGCCTCTATGATCTGTAGGATTCTAATACACATTTGTACCCTTGAGTTTCATTTTACAGTTGAGGAAGCCGAGGGCCATGTTCCAAGTGGTTCTCCCACTTGTTGTCTTGCAAACTGTTCTCTAAACAACTTGGTAAAGAATCAAGATCCTTAGGGGTATGAGAGTTTTTAAGTGCTTTGTAATTTATTTTTATTTATTTTTTGACAGAGCTGAAAAACTTCAGCTGCTGAATCACAGGCCTATGACTGCTGTTGAGATCCAGCTGGTAAGTGAAGGAGGCTGGTGTGTGTGTGTCGGGAATGGGGGTGGGTGGGTTGATTTATGGGTATGAGATGTAGAAAGGGTGATATAAAGGCTGACAACAGACAAAACTTGAAAAGACAGGCCACTCCATTTTATAAGTGAAATTTGATCCTAGTTAGTATGGACTTAGGTAAAGTAGAAGACGAAATTTAATTCCTTCTACATGGTTTAGGCCTATGATTTGGTAGCTCTTTGTCTCACCTGATGTCCTACGTGATTCTGGCCATTGCTCCCCTGTAGGATTATTGCCAACCCAGATGTTGCATACAAACATTAGACTCGACATGATTCTGCTGGAATTCATCTCTCCCACTCCTACCCTTTGACCTGCTCTTCCTGAATTTCTTTTCTTGGTTAATGGAGCATATGTGCACTTTCCCACATGCTCTCTTTCTTACCCTCCTGGCCCAGTCTCCTAAGCCAGAAACCTGGAAGTCATTCTCTTCTTTTTATCACATTCAGTTAGTCCTCAGGTTCTGTTGCTTCTATCTCTTATTCTTCCTTTCACTACTGCACTGCATCACTCTCTGTCATCATATCTCAGTTATCCCCTCACCATTCTCCTTGTTCCAGTCTGGCCCCTCCAGTCTATCTTCCACAGCACTATATAGTTCATTTTCTAAAACCACAAATTTGATGATCTTATTTCCCTGCATAAAACCATTCAGAGGAGCCTCATCACTTAAAAAGTCTAAATTGCAGTCACAGAATAAAGCTTCAGAATTGTGGGAGGCAACTGGAGTAGAAAGCTGAGGTGGTTTAAGGAGAATGAAAATGAGGTCCAGTGATACAGATGAGTGTCTGCTGTATTGGCCTGCTGTTTCCTTCAGTTGTACAGAGCAAAGAGCATCATTAAGCTACAAATATTAGGCAGGCCATTCAACTGACAGTGAAAAACTTTGGCTGGAGAATTAATAAAATGAGAATAAAACTGTTTTCAAAGTCAGTTTTAGAAGTATTTAGCACTTTGTCAAATTTCCTTCAGAAAAGTTGGAAGAAAATGGCCAATAATACCCATGATCTCTAGAATTGTTTAAAAAACAAAATAAAAAAACTCTTTCCTTAAAGGGTCATGGGGTATTTAATTTTTGACTAAAACTTATTGTCTTTGTAGTGTTACTTCTGCCCTTCAGAATGTACTCAAAATTTAGAAAAGTTCCTTCCACAAAGGGTGCCTTTCTGGGTAACTGGTCTTCAGGATACACAAAGACTCCATTTTAAACCCTCATTATTCTTATGCTTTCGACTGTGTGTATGTTGGAGATTCAGCTTGGAAAAGAGAAAAAACAAACAAAACAGCAAGAAACTAATTCCTTTCCCTCTGGGTTAAAGATCACATGGCATGTCTCCTCCAGCTTTAATCAGCAACATATGTTATTCATGGCTTAAGGACAGATGGAGAAGAGATGAGGAGGATTAGTGTGACCTCATCCCAGAGCCTGTATAAAGCTCTATCATTACTTGTAAAATTAGCTGCTATTAAGAATACCTATTGTATGCCAGACATGATGCTAGGGGCTTTGTATATGTTACCTTTAATGCCTCCATCATAATCTTGGCTAGTGAGTGGCTGATTCGGGTCTGTCTAATTCACAAGTCTTACTGTGTTCCTCCAAGCCATGTACTTTTGCATCCCCTCAGACTGTTCGTTCTCTTCTCCTTTCCTTGGTGAAAATTATGTGTGTTGTTTCCCAGTAGTTGGGCCATTTTATATCCAGAGTTTTCCCAGCCTGGGATTTGGCTGTAAAAGATAGTAAATCATTTACCAAGGCTTGTAGCAGTATCTCTTCTCACCAGAGTGGAATAAGAAGTTGGGTTTTCACAGAGAGTGGAAACTGCAGAGGACTTGAGACTTTCCTCATCTAAAGCTTACAATTTAGAAGTAATCTCAGCATCTAACATTTATTAGTATTCAGTTTTAGGGGCTGAAATTTCTCTTTTTTAATTACACCTCAGCCATGATTTGTTGCAATCCTCAGATCTGTCTGAAGAAGAGGAAGCCACCCAGCTTCTGTGACTCTTCTTCCCTTTTGAGCCCTCTGGTCTGAAGATAGGACAGTGAACCCATGACCTCACCGGCCATGGTCCTGAACAGCACTGCCATCTATGCCTGTTATAATGTAGTGACTATAAAATGTCTTGAATTATATAGAGTTTTATGGCTTACAAAAGACTATGGTATTTGTTCTTGTTTGGTCCTGACTATACACATTACTTTCATTTTGTATTAGAGAAAATGGAAATTTACAGAGGTTGGGTGAACTGTTCCTGGGTCAAGTAGCTAAAAGTGTCAGTAACTATTAGATTTTGAGATGTTTGAGGAAAGTAGGAGGTTAGGCCTGACAGCTTAAAATGAGAAACAGTTCATCAGCTCAGTTTGACAGCTCCTGGGTATTGATATAATCTCTGTATATGATTAAAGACATTTGTCATTTATGTTGACCCATCTGCAAATACTTTGGATTTTAAAATTTCATTTGCCTTTATATTCTGAGTAACTTGAAACCTTTGGTATCAGAATGTTGAGATGGTGCTTTGCACTTCTTTATTTGGGCCTGAGAATCTTGGATTGAAAAGAAAACTTCCTGACTATAATTATCCCTGAGGATCATGTGCAAATCAAAGCTGCTCCTGGCAAATTTGGCTAAATGGAAAGCTCATCAGCCCTTTTGCCAAAAACACACCTCCCTGACACCTGATCTTAGTGTTGCATCTGCCAAACCCAGAGATTGGGATGCAAGAAGGTGGCCTATTGAGGTTCTCTCTGTTTGGTTTTCTGAAAGGGAAGGCCTCTTAGAGGTCGCATAACCAAACTCTTAACCAGTGGACTTTATAGTAGTCTGCCGTACAGCATAGCATCTCTGAGAGAGGAAATGATAGAACCTCCTAGTGGAAGGCATGGTGTTCTAGAAAGAGCTGGGATGCAAAGTCAGAAACCTTGCCCCCACTTGCTTTGAGACCCAGGTCAAGTTTCCTTGTAACGCTGAGCATCCACTTACCAGTAAATTTGTCCTGCCTTGATGCGTAGTGTTCTTGAGAAGCTCTGGGGGCAATGATTCGGTGACAGCCCCTCACAGATACTAGTGGAGGCTGTCACTCTTCTAACAGTAGTTCAGAGCTCCTTCACCCTCTCACCTGAGGCAGGAAGTAGTTCACCATCAACTGCATATGCCAGTTATTCATAAACTTGGAGACATTCTTCTCAAATGGAGATCATCATTTCTCAGGATTAAATCAGGTTGGATATATCCCTCCTTCCTCTTCATTCTTTGGAGGCAGTCTGTGTTAGTCCTTTCATGGACCTGTTTTGCATGTCTGATTTTAAAAATGGGCTTTGGGGATTGTTTCTTGTTCAGTTAAGAAGTTACATTTTATTGAGCCTTTGAATCATTAGACAGTGGACATTTTATTTCACAGTGTGATGGGATTTAACTTCATTGGTTCACTTGGTATCTTCCCCACCCTAGACCTCCCGGGGTTATTCTCTAGTTGTGGAAACATTTTTGGACTAAGATGAATGAAGAGACTAATGTTTTTTCAGGAGTTTACAGTATGATCTTGGATGTGTCACTGGACTTCTTCTGTTTCTATACTGTTATTTGTAAAGTGAGGCAGTGGACTGATTTCAGGATTGTAAGTCTAGCTTGCCATCTTTCTTTACTTAAATCTGCCGGATTTCTTTCTAGAATTCCTTTTGGTCTTACTTGCCAGATGTCAGAGATTGCTGTGGGAAATGCTATAGAATAGGACCCTGGACATCTTTAGCTGAAAAGGTTGTTTGCAATAGACAGCTAATGCCACCAAGTGAATGTGCTTAAACAATGTGACTGCCTGCATATTTTTAAAAGGGGGCTGACTATATATTATGTTTGTATTCGATAACATATTGAGAATCAGAGGTGAGGCTTAGAAACTGGCTCGTGATTGTGGGTATCGGCTGTGTGTTCAGATTTCCAGGACTGTGTCGGAAGCCAGGCTTTAAGTAGACCTTTGATGAGGCAGTGTGGGGTTGTTTTCCAGCGTCACTCATCAGACTCCTGTTCTGCATCCTCAGGAGGAGACTAAGGCCCAGTGGTGTGTGTTCGAGTTGGATAGGCCTGGCTTGGATTTCTAGTTTGCCCTTTGCCAGGATTGTTGTGAGGGTTAAAAGAAATAATGGACATACTACTAAAGTGTAAGGTGCAGCACCAGGCACATAGCTCCCTAAATAGCTGTTCTTAGGTGGTGGGGTTAATGAGGATTAGAAAAAATATATAAACCACTTGGCACCATTGATGAGGCATATGGGATTGTTTTCCAGTGACACTCATCAGACTCCTGAAGAATCATCAGATGAGTTGTTGCTACAGTTTGTAAGTTACAGTTGAACTTGCAAAATACAAAAAAATATAAAGCACCATGCACTCCCCAGAGGTGAGTTTTTCTTTGCATATACAACATATTCACATGTGTATATAGGGATAGAACTGTTAGGGTTTTCTTTTTCTTTTTTTTCTTTTTTTTTTTTTTAAATATATTTTATTGATTTTTCACAGAGAGGAAGGAAAGAGATAGAGAGTTAGAAACATCGATGAGAGAGAAACATCGATCAGCTGCCTCCTGCACATCTCCCACTGGGGATGTGCCCGCAACCAAGGCACATGCCCTTGACTGGAATCGAAC